GGCCAGATAGTACCAAGACAGGGTAGATGGGTGAATGAACCATTCTTACATCTTGATACAGACCCAGAACTTACCTCCCCAAAAGGCTTTACCTGTAACGCTTTTGAAATGACAACACTGAGTCATCATAAAAAGGTTAAATTTTACTTTGCACACTTTAAGAACACAGAGGACGCCATAATACAGTTCAGAAAGACACAAATCCAAAATAATCTAATTAAAAACAAGCAAGTCTCATATTCCTGGAAAATTCATTTTTGTGAAACACTATAATATTCCCTGATAAGACCTAGCAAAAAAACCAAAAAACAACAACAAAAAACCTTAGAAGTTTTTTTTGGCACCTGGACTTTATCTGTTCATCGCTGCATTCCCGGCAACTAGAATGGTGCCTGGCACATAACAGGTGCCAAAAAAAACCTATTTCTCAAGTGACGATAAATAAACGAATTTATTTATTGTATAAAGTGAGATACTATACGTTATCCATGACAGAATAAACATGCAGTACATTGGTGAGAGTATACTGTATTGAACACGCATAGAAATGATAAAAACATTATCTTTCCAGACACTAATTTACCTTGGCAAACAAATTACAAGCAGGGTGTGGTGAAAATGTACTCCTCCACCCCAGGTCCAGTGTGCCTATAGGTCAAATTATGATTTTGCAAGCCTGTATTATTGCAATTCAATATATCTTTAAAACAAAATATTGAGCAAAATGATTCATTTAGAATTTGTAGCAACATGAAAGGTGTGGTTGAATGTATTAATCTAATCAAGCCTGTTAATTATCTCTACACACCTTTTTGAGGCAATATTTAATGAAATAATCTCTAATTGATTCACACATTTATATAACAGAGGGCTGCACCTGTGAAAGATTCATAGGTATTCCCTTTATAAAATTCTTTTTTTAAAAAACACATTCTTTTTATCTCAAACTACGAAATGTTACTGAAATCCTTATTTTCTACCAAGGATTCTCAAAAAACCAGTATAATTGCAATGAAAGGTTCCTTAAAGATCACGTAGTATAAATATCTGCTCATCCTTATGACCTAAGATGAACTAAAATTAATAATCAGCATGCCCTCAAGCCTAATTTAAATTTTAAAAATAGAATTCTTCCAAACAAAAGATTTCATCAGCAGGCTTCTACACTGCATACTATAAGTTAACTATATGCACTGCAACGACTAAAATCTAAAGCACATGTGGTTAAAAGCTCAATCGATGGTACTCAGTACCTTAGGAGATGAGAAAATCTCGCCACCAAGACCAAGTTTCACCACAAATCTTAAATTATGACTCATCTCGGTAATCGCCCATTGCGCAGGGGTATGCATAAATGGTTCCTCAGGCATGACCTCCCAGAATACAGCGCTTAAGAACTTTGCAAAGAGATCATTTGCATCTCAAAGCACAGAAGCTACTGTCTGTTAACACTTTCCTTCAACCAAACAGTAAAACTGTGCTCTCACAACCACCCATATGAAAATGCTTAATAAAAAAAATTTGTCTTGCTTTTTAAATGGTTCCTGTTAAAACATGTCATTTATAGAAATAAACCGTTTGACTTTTTAGTTGGAATAAAACATCGGCATATCATAAATGTTAAAGCATTTGTTGCTATAAATCTGGCTTTTGCAATCTAATTAATCAAAAACCAGGGGCAACCTGTAGCTCAGCGCTTATGCCTTAAAGCGTTTATGTGCAGATTTTGCACAAGGTCAGGTGGACACAAGTGGGGTGTACCATACAATTACTAAGGGGTTCAATACTTTTGGCAGAGTGAATAAGTGCTCAGCAAGCCAAGATTTACCTATTATGCTGGAACAAAAAAATCTGTTTACTATTCAAATTTATTTTAAACCCATTCTTCTTCCTCTAATTTGGTGAGATCATAGAATTCTGGAGTTGGAAGCCACCTACCTCCACGATAAAAAAGTTGATCACCCTGGCCTTATCAAACTGAGATCTTGAAAGAATAAATTACTTTGTCTTTACTGTTGGTTGATGGCACAGATTCGACTACAACTCAGATTTCAAGAGCTTTTAATAAGGCTGTCAATGTCATGGAAAGGGGCCCTTCTTTGCTGGTCTCTCATTTCTACAGAAACACCTAACTTTTTGGAGTTCTTTCCAACCCACTTCATGCGTGAAACTGACTTGTCTGCTCTCCTTCTGTGTAATGCATTTCTTCCACTATTTCTCACACAGTTACCTGAATTCTCAAACGTAAAGATACCTCATTGATAATCGCTAAGAGAATACTATCTGGAGATAGCTTCCAAAATGATGCTTGCCAAGCTAGAACAACTTTAGCAAGAGAACTTTTTAAAATAAACAGTGTTGTTAAGGAAATTAAAAGATTTCTTAAAAGTAAATCTTGATCTTAAAGGGTCTATTCCAGTCCCATAATCCGACAACTCAATTATTAACAAAATGCTTAATATTAAGTGTGAATAAGGATGGAGAGTGCAACACACACAGGTAGGGTCACTGGGAATTGTTCCGGAGGCTATAGGATGCAAACAGAAGTATTATTACACGAGCAAAGAAGTAATCAGGTGCACTTTACACCCTCAGGAAGGTGCGCAGTCTCGAACCCTCCCCTGCCGAGGCCAGACAAGCTCTACAAGGGACCTGGAGAAGGATTAAACCCTGGAACCCGGTAGAGCGGATTCGCTCTGAGGGTCACCGCGAGCCAGGCGGAGGGAGCCTGAGCCTGACCCGCCTTCTCTGCAGCCTCCCTGCCTAATCCCGCCCAAGCCCTCCGCCTCTCCTCCAGGAGCACCCGAGCCCCCATACCTGTGAGATAGTTGGTCCACTTGTACAGAACCCCCTCCATGCTTCAGAGCCACGCACCGCGCATCCTCCTGGTCCGGCGCCGGCCGCGGTGCTGGGATAGGCGCGGAGCCTGAGGCAGCCCCTCCCGGCCCGCCCGCGCCCCCTCCCCGGGCGCCCCCCGCCGGCACTAAGCCGCCCTCAGCCCGCGCGCGCCGCCCGGACGCGGCGGCCCTTAGAGGCTGGGACGGCGGGCGCCGCCTGGAGCTCGGGGGCCGCGAGGCGCGGGCTCAGACATCCCCGGGCGAGCCTCGGTGACCGCGACCGCTACAACGACAAAAACGCGACCGCGGCCAGCCTCCCGTTCGCGCTTCCGCGGCCCGGCTGCTCCCTCCCACACCCCGGCGTTCCCTCCTCCTTGCCTGCCTTCCTTCCCCCCGGGCTCCCCGTTTGTTTTCATTGACCCCGACGTCGCTTTCACTTCCTGGATGAAAGGGGCCGGATCGTCCCGGGAAACCCCTCCCCGGCGGCGGGGCTGCAGGAGCAGGCGCGGCCCGCGGCCTCGCCGCGGTGCCGGAGGCTGCGCAAGGAGGGCAGGCCGGCGGGCACACCCTTGGCCTCCCACTGGGGTACCTTACTCCTCCTCCTCCTCCTCCTCCCGCCCGTGGCTGCGGAGGCCCCGGCCGACCACCCCCCAGCGCGGAGGCTTTCAAGCCCTGCCGGACGCGCGGCCCCCAGGCTTACCCGAGGACAAGCTCACCTAACACCCTGCGGGCAGGGCCTCTCGGGTTTTCCTGTAACTACATCTCAAGTCCTTTTGATGATTGTTTTTTTTTTTTGAATAATAATAAATCCTTTCTATTTCTGTTTGCTTCATATTCTTCCTCTATTCCGGGGATCTGAGAAATTATCTCCTAGGAAGACAGTGTGCAGCTGACAGGGTCCTCCGACAAGGAGCAATGAGGAGCCCCAAGGAACTGCCGTCACGGCAATGGTTAACCTTAGATAGCAGCGATTTTATTTAGAATATAAAACATGAAACTAAACTGTTTTAGTCAAAAAATTGGGGCTTTCCCTATCTTTTATTATTTTTGAAAATCCTGCTTTGAAGTGCACTTCATCTTACATAATTGACAGTAATTTTCAGATTAATGAAATTTTGCAAACATTAAGCCAAGTACATAAAGCAGGTCCAGGGCTGCGGCTTTTCATTGAGGTAAAATAACATCTCTCCTCCCAGTACCTAATCCAGGCCGAGGCAGGCCTAGGGTTTTCTGGTTTGGGTAGTCTTTTGGTATTCACTTGGAAGTAAGGTGAAATGAACGATGGAGAGATGAATGACTATGTAATAAATAGGTTATAATTCAACGTTAATCATAAAATCTAGGCGGTGGGTATATGGGTTGTTCATTGTAAAATTTAACTTTTCTGTATGTTTTAAAAGTTTTCATAGTAGAATGAGGGGATGGGGTTGTGTCAAACAGATTTGGCCAAATCCCTTGGTATTAGTTGTGAGATTGGGACAAAATGCCCAAAACTCAAGTTTCCTCATCTGATGTGGAAGATTACAGATCTCACGGGGTTGGTAAGAATGCACGAGCTTTTCCTGCACTGCTAGAGACCCTCAAGCCACAAGGGAAGGAAACGCCAGCCAGCAGCAGGTCGGGAATCGCCGAGGTCTGCGCGTGCAAACGCCATTCACTGGGCGCAGGAGCAGCGGCGTCGCAGTTCCGTCGCGTCCAGCCGGCCTTCAGGTTGTGTCTCGGCCTGGAGCCCCTTGATGCATGACTCCAACCCCGAGTATGCGCTTCAAAGACACCTCAGAAACACCCAGGAAGCCACCACAGGCTATTTTTAGCGCTCTTCTTCCAGAATGCCTCCCCATCCCAATAACCGCTAGTTCTACAGGGGCCTTTTGCGCCCAGAAATGACAACCATATTCTAACTCTATGATATCCCACCCCACGCTGTTTATCTCGTCTTTTGTCAGTTTTGTTTTGGGAAACGTTTTACTACAGTAGCCTGACAAAAGCGGCTGTAAAATATCGGGTTTGCCGAGGAGAAGCGGTTCAAACGTGCGGTGCTACCTTCGCAACCGACGGCAGCAGCCTGAGCGCCCAGTCCCAGAGGGACACACGCCTGGCCCAAGACCCTGAAAACGCCTTGGCCCAGCGCGCCGGCGGCGGAGGGGCGGGGCCGCGCGCGCAGCCCCGCCCGGACCCTTTGTGACGTAGGACAATGCCTGCCACGCGTCGGAACTTGGCCGCTGGGGCAGCCGCGGGCCACGAGTGACACGCCGGAGGAAGCGCGCTGTTCTTCTGGGAGAAAACATGCATTTCTTATTCAGATTAGTCATTTTATTTTACCTGTGGAGCTTTTTTACTGCTCAGGGACAAAAGAAAGAGGAAAGTATAGAGGAAGTGAAAATAGAAGTTTTGCATCGTCCAGAAAACTGTTCTAAGACAAGCAAGAAGGGAGACCTACTAAATGCCCATTACGATGGCTACTTGGCTAAAGACGGCTCGAAATTCTACTGCAGGTAGGAAATGCTGCGAACCGATTCCGCGTCCGGTGGATGCACAAGGTCTTGCCCCGCTCTACCAACCAGAAGCCTTATTGGCTGGTTGTCTCTTTTGTTGTTTGGGGGTTTGTGTTTTTTTAACAGTAAGAGTTGAACCTTTTATTCATGGGGGTAAAATCAGATTATATGGCAGTTCTTCTCTAATAAACTGAATATTACTTTTTAAATTGTTGAAAATGTTGGCGGAAGAAATTATCGAAAATACACTACATCCACACACCACGCACCACCACTATTCGTAGGACGTCTAGAATTAAATCAAGGTGCTGCCAGTAAGGATGTTCACATTTTTCTTTGCCGAGAGTTGCAGTCTTTAAAGAAGATTACGTAGGATACAGATATTTTATTCTGGCCTTCAGAAGCAGGATTTTTACAAGCTGGGAGCCACTTCCTAACTGTATCAAGACGCCACTACAACAGTGACTTCCCTTGTGACCTCTGCTGGGCCCTGGTCCTCTCGCCTGCTCCCTCACCCCACCGGCTGCCTATTCTGATTGAATTGATGGTTTATTACTCAGAAGTAGAATATCTTAGCAAGACAGGATTGGGAAATGTTTGTTCTTCCCATTTAGAGTAAAATAGAGAAATTCAATAAGAAAATTTTAAATTACCATTAAAATGACCTTTTGAGACTATACCTGCTCCATCATTTTTAGAACAAACCCAGAGAAGTTAAAATGACTTATTTGTACAAGCCATGCAGCTGGTTAGTGCCTGGAAACCCATTAAAAAGCTAACTGTTGGATAGTTTTTGTAAAGATGATGATAAAAAAGATAAGATGACTCCTAATGACTAGCTTTGGGCAAATCATACTTCTTTTTGGCAATTACAGGGAAGTTTGAACCAAACACCCCATCAGGGGGTTTAGAAAAAGTGCTATTATGGGGAAAGAGACAATGTTAGAAAGGACTCCAATTTTAAATGCCCAGCTATATTTTAAAGTTTGATTCTTAAAATCAGCTTACCTAAGTATTGTTTTTTATTATAGCCGGACTCAAAATGAAGGGCACCCCAAATGGTTTGTTCTTGGCGTTGGACAAGTCATAAAAGGCCTAGATATTGCTATGATGGACATGTGCCCTGGAGAAAAGCGAAAAGTGATTATACCCCCTTCATTTGCATATGGAAAGGAAGGCTATGGTAAGGTATTTAATTTAAATTTATTTTTTTAGTTATATTTAAAAATAAATCATAGACTTCTGGGTATACATGTCCAAAAGAATTGAAAGTAGAGTCTTGAAGAAATATTTGTATACCTGTGATCATAACAGCATTATTCACAATAGCCAAAGATGGAAGCAACTCAAATGTCCATAGACAGAAGAATGGATAAACAAAATGAGTACAGACATACAATGGAATATTATTCAGCCTTAAAAAGGAGGAAAATCCTGACACCTGCTACAGCAGGGATGAACCCTTAACAACATGCTAAGTGAAATAAGCCAGTCACAAAAAGACAAGTACTGTATGATTCCACTTATATGAGGTACCTCAAGTGGTTAAATTCATAGAGACAAAACGTAGACGGGTGGTTGCCAGGGGCTGGGTAAGAGGGAAATGGGGAGGTATGGACCAATGAGCATAGAGTTTCAGTTTTGCAAGATGAAGAGTCCTGGAGATTGGTTACACAGCAATGTGTTCAGTACTTTACTGAACAATACACTTGAAAATGGTTATGATGGTAAATTTTACATTATGTGTATTTTATTTTACATTATGTGTATTTTACCACAATTAAAAACCAAAAAAAAAAACCTCAGAAAAATAAAAATAAATCATAGAAGAAATAATCACAGAACTCTATGGCTGTATCTAGTTCAATCCAGCCCCCCTTTTTACTTACAAAGAAAATAAGACATCTTTGGTATATAGATCTCTGGCCAGAGTTCTTTCCCCTATTTTGTGGCAGCACTCATAATGATTGTGTATATTCTGTAAACTCTACCTTAGGTGTTTTTATTTGTTTTCAGTATGGTACATAATTACATAAATGTATATAACACAGATCTTTGGTAAGAAATACCAGAGTTATAAAACTCAGGAAACTGTAACATATGAGTTTAGAATACAAAGATAGCACTCTAACATTGTAAAAGGAATATCTGAGATATGATAAGTTGTCAGTCACTATTACCCCAAGACAGGACAAGCCTTGAAATATTCAAGAAATGAACTTATTTTTTCAACATTTTGCCTATTTTTAAAATCCTGGAATGAGAAGATATGAAAACTTAGGTAAAGCAAATGGGAAAATTGCAACACGTATGAATGAAGATTTACTAACCATTAATAAAAATTACCTCTTCCTAGAAATGAGCCAAATCCATACGAAAGTGGCCCACTAGCCAAAAAAAAATACAAATAGCCTTTAAACTTATGAGAGTACTTAATTTTATTCATAATTAAAGGGAATTATTTTTTGAAATGAGGTCTCACTATGTTCCCCCATATGAGGCCAGGAGTTCAAGGCTGGTCTCAAGCTCCTGGCCTCAAGTGATCCTCCCACCTCAGCCTTCAGAAGTGCTGAGATTATAGGCATGAGCTACTGCATCCAGCCTAAAGGAAAATTAAAACAAAAATGAGACACCATTTTTCACCCATTGGATTAGCAAAGATGAAAAAGTTGGCAAAGGCCTGGAAAAACCAGCACTCTCATGCATTATTGCTGGGAACGTAAATCATTCGATCTAGCAATTTCTTTAAGAAGTGAAAATGCACATACCTTCTGACCCAGTAGTTCCATTTCCAGGAATGTGCACAAAGCTATGTGTAAAAGAACATTCATTGCAGACTTTTTTTTTTTGATAGCAAAAGACTAGAAACTACCTGAGTATTCATCAGTAGGAAATTAAATAAATTATGCTTTATCCATACAAAGGATTACTGCACAGCTGTAAAAAGAATGAGGTAGAGCTATACATGTTAACGTGTTAAAAATAAAGCAGGACAGAATGTATTCCTGCAAAGAATATTTATTGAGCATCAGTGCCAGGCTCTGTTCTAGGCACTGAGCATAAAGCAGTCAACAAAGTCAACTCTACTCCCAATCCTCCATGCTTGCATTTTAGAGGGGGAATTTCACATATGTATGTGTCTACACAGACTATATCTAGAAGGATATGCAATCCTCTGATAACATTAAATGTTCCTGGGAAGAAGGCCTGAGGGTCAAGGATGAGAAGGAAATTTCTTCTCACTCTAATATTTTGTACTGTTTGAAATTTTTATCATGTGCATTAGTAATTTTTCAAAAATTATATATTTTTTAAATTACTAACCTTAAGTGTAGCAGAATAGAGAGGGAAATTTGTAAATGGTAGGGGGAGGATGAGTAGCCTGATAAGGACTGATTCCACATCCTCAGACAGGCCCTTGCTCCCTATTTCTGTGTGAAGGCTGTACAGAAAGAATCTATGCCTCCTAACCCTGTTTAGAGGCCCTGCTAACTCCACCTATTTGAAATATTTCATATATAAAGATTAATTTTCTAAGATGAGATGTGGCCACTACCAAATATTTCATGGAAGTGGCATGCCTTCTTTGAGGCTGTTGGTTTAGTCATTAAGAATTCTTTCCAGCAAGACCAGGGGATCACTGTCTCAAACTGGATTGGAGGGAGGTCAGTGCTGCAAGTCAGGCCCAATCAGACTTAAAACTCCTAACGAGACAGTTCTAGATAACTACAGCTTTATTTTCAATGTTTTTGCCAATCATTTGGTCCCATCAAAATAGCTCCCATAGTACTATAATTTGTATACCGTGTTTTCATTTAGAGGAACCTGGGAAAGAGAAAGAAAATTGAAGATGAATTAAATTGAATGCAATTTTTGTCCAAAAAATTTTGTCCTGAGTTGAAGCCACATCCAGGCAAAATGATGTAGGCAAAGTTGGCCTTTCAGTCTCTTTTATTCTCATTTTCATTTTGAGAGTTTCCCCTTCTCTCTTGTATTGTCTCGTCACATGCCTCCATGCTCTGTCTGCCATCAGAGCACCCATTCCCCTATTTGCCTAAAGCACCCACACCCCTCATTAATAGGTGTCCATCTGGGTCTGTTACCCTAAGGCAAAGGACTACTTAGTTTATCCTTTTCATAAACTAATTTATGCTTAGATATGAATGACTACCCTGGCTGCCTAAACTTTTAATAAATCAGACCCTTGCTGCAGATATGTGGAAGCTTGACTTGAGTCAAAGTTCATATTCAATTTGAGGTGTCTCTAATAAACATAAAAATGATAAATCTCGCTAGAAATACTACCTGCACCTTCATTTGACAAGTGAGGAAACTGAGGCCCAAAAAAGTATGTTTATTGGAATGTAGTTAACTGCTAGCCTTAACTGTATTACAGTAGCTTGGATTAGATTGTTTTAAAAGTTGCAGCATAGACCATAACTGTTTAACAGACAACTTCTTGATTAAATAAGCTTTTTAAAGTAAGTTGCTATTAAGACCTAACATTAGCTATAACTTTATTTTAGGTAGTACTTGAAGAAGTCTTTCCTCTGCGAAATATCCTTGCCTCATCTCACAGAGCACCCCTGCATGTCTTGAAATGCATGTGACTTTTAGTGCTTTAATTAACGATATATGTGGTATGTATAGATTCTTTACATTAACGCCTACTTCTTTGATCTGCTTCTCTAAGTAATTCTATAGCAAATGCATATTTTTCTGTTTTATATACTTTAATTTTTTTGCAGGAAAAAACTAATTGGCAGTATTTTCTATGTTTACAGTAAAATTATTTAGAAACTTCATATATACCTGTGATTTTTTTTTTTTTGGAGACAGAGTCTTGCTCTGTTGCCCAGGCTAGAGTGCCATAGCCTTAGCCTAGTTCACAGCAACCTCAAACTCCTGGGTTTAAGCAATCCTTCTGCCTCAGCCTCCCGAGTAGCTGGGACTACAGGCATGCACCACCATGCCCAGCTAATTTTTTCTATACATTTTTAGTTGTTCAGATAATTTCTTTCTATTTTTTTAGTAGAGACGGGGTCTCGCTCTTGCTCAGGCTGGTCTCGAACTCCTGAGCTCAAACAATCTGCCCGCCTCAGCCTCCCAGAGTGCTAGGATTACAGGCGTGAGCCACTGCGCCCGGCCCTGTGATATTTTTTTGTAAGAAATTTGAACTTGTGTTTTGAATTTGTCTTTCATTATTGTCAGGAGAAGTTATTTTTCTGTCATAAGGAGATATTCTATCTAGGAGTCTAGACAGAATAGGAATGGATTTTGTAAAAACGATCACTGAATCAATCCCTAGCTCTTTTACTATAAAGTCAGATAATATGTGGTACTTTAGGTTAGAACTTTCACACTAGTCACATGATGCATGTGTAGATTTTTTTGTCTTAACTTTGAAAATTACTGATCCTCTTCTTTTGGCTGTAACTTACAACCTCTTTTCTCTTTGGACTACGTAAAGATTTTAGCAAGAATTCTCCACTTTTTTAAAGAAATTGCTGTTTCCTTCAAGGGACAAACTTAGCAATTTTTAAAATAAAAAACATGGGTCCTTTATTCAGTAAATATTGGAGTGCCTATAATAGATCAGGCACCGTGTAAGACCCTGGCAATATATTCATGACACAAGCTACCCACTGCCTCTTGGCAAGTCATTTTTGCAGGTCATTTTTATGAAATGCTTATCTGAAATAGCCCATAGCTTATTAAAATCATCTGCACCATCAGTAAAAAGGTTAATTTAAGGAGAACTATTCAACTTAATACTTAAAAATTTGTATTGTGATTAGAAATCTCCTTGTAAAATCGTTACTGGGTTTTTCTGTCATCGTACTTATTTTTTAATGTCTATAAAAAATTTGAAAGACAAACATATTGATACTCACGTTTTATTTACGCTTCCAAATAACTATACAAAATCATTTTCTAAGCGATTACTCATCTATGCTTTAAAATTTTTCTACCCTTGCATTTCTTCTCTGTATTACCCCTCTTCTGTATGATGATAGAAGTGTATAGTCATCCCTTGGTATCCATGGGGGACTGGGTCCAAGAACCTCCTCAGATACCAAAATTCACAGAAGCTCAAGTCCCTCATATAAAATGGTATAGTATTTGCATATAACTTCTGCACATATTCCCATATACTTTAAATCATCTCTAGGTTACTTATAATACCTAATACAATGTAAATGCTATATAGATAGTTGTTATACTGTATTGTTTAGAGAATAATGATAAGAAAAAAGTCTGCACATGTTCAGAACAGACACAACCATCCTTCTTTTTTTTTAATATTTTCAAGCTGAGATTGGTTGAATCCATGGATGCAGAACCCACTAATATGGAGGGCCGTATCAATGTATTAATGAAAAATCCATGCATTAATAAAAATCACATGATTTGTATTTATTTTAATTTAATCAGGAAATAGTAGTCCCATAGGTCCTTTGAATTGACTTGGTTTAAAAACATGAGAAAAAATTCCTTTAAAAAAAGGAAAAAACACACAAAAAATATTTAAAGACAAAAAAAATTTTCTAGAAGACAAGAAAAAAATTTTTTAAGTGTTTAGAAAGTAGTTCTTATAAATATGAAATCATACAATCATAATCCTATAATGGCTGTTTGTGAATAAATATTTGAACTGTATCTTTATGTATGTTAAACAGTTAAAATTTATACCCTTAGCAGAAGGAAAGATTCCACCTGATGCAACACTGATTTTTGAGATTGAACTTTATGCGGTCACCAAAGGACCACGGAGCGTTGAAACATTCAAACAGATAGACACAGACAATGACAGACAACTCTCTAAAACAGAGGTAATTCAAACAAATTTCATGTGTACAGTCTATTTTTTTATCACAATTTACATCTGCGTTACAACTATTATATTTTATTTCCACCTAGCATGGCCTCTGATCACTGCTTTTATAGAGTTGGTTACTAAAAATTCTAAGCTCTGAGATAATAAAAATATTATTTTCAAATATAAAACTTGTGAGTCATCCTGTTCAATTGCCTTTCTTCCTGCAAGTGGGTCATTACAATCCCAAATTACTCATCTCTACAGGGCTCTTCTAATTTATAGACTACAGGAGTAGATCTCTTTTTCCAGCAGCACTTGTAAGAATTTGTAACAGGGAGTAATTTCCACCTCATAGGATTGTGAGGATTACATGAGATTATGAAAAGAGCTAGCAAAAATTTGAATTGAGTGGGCTAGAAAGTTGATAAACAGGAGCCAGGGGCTGGGCATGGTGGCTCACACCTGTAATCTTAAAACCCTGGGAGGCCGAAGTGGGAGGATTACTTGAGCCCAGGAGTTTGAGACCAGCCTGAGCAAGAATGAGACCCTGTCTCTACTAAAAAAAATAGAAAAATTAGCCGAGTGCAGTGGCACGTGCCTGTAGTCCGAGTTACTCTGGAGGCTGAGGCAGGAGGATCGCTTGAGCCCAGGAGTTTGAGGTTGCTGTGAGCTAGGCTGACGCCATGGCACTCTAGCCCAGGTGACAGAGTGACTCAGTCTCAAAAAAAAAAGAACAGGAGTCAGGAGTTCAGCTACCCAGCTTCTGTATCTCAGCCTTATATATGAATTGAGTGATATCATTATCTTCACTTTATAGTTGGAAAAAGGATGCTCAGACAGGTTAACTAGCCAAAAATCACACAGCTATAAGTGGCAAAACCAGTATTGCAACCTGGGCAATCTGGCTTCACTACTGTATTCTTAACCTTGGGCCCTCACTGCCTTTTTCAGGGAAAATCATGAATGTTTCAAGGCTAATTGTTTGTTTATTGAAGTCTAGTGCCTTACTTAGTCCCACTGACTATACTCTTGCTTAAAATGAATAAACCCAGTTGTCTCCCCTCTTAACTTGTTTGGAAGCATTTCAAAATGCATAACTGCCCCTAAGTAAGTATTATAAAAAGGCAACTGGGTTGATTTCACCTGGTGAGTAAGGCCTTTTTCTCTGTTTCTTTTTTTCCCCTCCCTCTCCAATCCTTTCTCTACCCAGTTCAACTTCTTCCTCCTGGATGTTAGTAAGGACTTTTCCCTGAATCACATTGGTTGGCCAACAATGGAAGAGGGAGAAGGAATATCTCCTGTTCCTTAAGAAGGGCAGCTAGAAGGGTGGCATACTGTTCCCAGTGTGTACTTGTCTTTTGACTCCTTGTCACCTTTTGTAGGGTCAGTAGCTGCAGGTGACTTCACATAGTACCCAAAGGCTCAGCCTGTGCACGGAGACGGTGTCTTATCACGGGCGCACCAAGAGGCACATTCTGCAGTGTCAGTACTACTCAGCAGACATTTGGGAATCTTCACTTCTTTTCCGGAAAATGAAAGTAGTGAAAATCCAAATTAGTGACTTCCTTAGCTACAATTTCCCCAGATGTCTTTCAAGGATCAGCTATTTCACCAGATGGATGAGAGCAATTTTCACACACTTAAAAAACAATAGCTATTTTTTATTGATGCCCAATAATCATTACTATAATCCTCACATCAATCCTACAATATAGGTACTTACTGCTCTCCTTTTACAGATGACAAAACTAAGGTTCAGAGAGGTTAAATAATTTATTCAAGACCACATAACTAGTACATGGCAAAGCCTGGATTTGAAACATGAACTAAAAGAAACTTCCTTTCTTCATCCTTAGAAAGATTCAGTAAATTATTTCTTCAGTATAAATAAGGTAAGGTGGATGGAGAGAGAAATACTATATTTTATTTTATTAAAGTACAAAGTAGAAGTAGTGTGGGACCTATTACTAGTAAAATTAAGATGTGTTCTTACCCACTACATTTTTGTACCTCTCTAGTCTAGTGTACTGGAAAAGGAGTTGATTTTGAGCATCAGCAATACTGGTTACGAAAAGTTAAATTTAATAATTTAGAATATGAGGCATATTTGAGGCAATTTAATATTCTTTATACCTATGTGGGATTACTAAAGAAGAAAAAAGTCTCCCTCATATAGGACCAAAGCCCCATTTGAGGACAGTTGATATATCCTTCAATAAAGTCCATCGATTGTCCTAAAATAAAGTCTACTCACAGTGGGTTGAGCGTGGAATATGTGTTTCTGAAAATTTCTCACGGTTCAACCCTAGCTTTCAAAAATACTCTCACCTGTAAAATGCTAGCCTTGCTGAACATTCTTTCCAGATCATTGTGTGTAGCTTTCTTTAGTTACATAGATTAGCACTTTCCAATGGAAACATAATTGAGTCACATATATAATTTTGATTTTTTTATTAGCCACATCTTAAAAAGTAAAGACATAGGTGAAATTAATTTTAATGATATATCTTAACTCCATATATCTAAAATATTACTTCGTGAAATGAATATAAAAATTATCAATATTCTTTTTAAGTCTTCAAAATTTGTTGTTTATTTTACGTTTATAGAACAGTAACATATCTCAGTTTGATCTAGCCACATTTCAAGTGCTCAGTAATCACGTGTAGCTAGTGGCTACTGCAGTGGACAATACTTTCAATGGGTGTTTGTGTAGAGAAATTTCCTGTTGTGTAGAGAAACAGGGAACACTTCAGAATATCTGTTCTTTGACATTATTATTAGAGAGATTGTCATAGTTATGTAGATTTGGGGGAGAGAGAGAGAAGGATAGAAAAAATTTTTTTAATTTTTAAAATTTCAGAACCCATGGTTGGGTTTTGTTGATGATATAACCATTACTTTTAGAGATTATAAAAATGCCAATTTAGATTTTATTTACTAATGGAAATCCTTAAGAGTGATTTTCCTTTGATAATGTGAACAGTGTACATTATTGGAAAGCATTTAGTTTCAACAAAATTCAATTCAAATGCTAATCTTTGAGTATGTACTATTAACTATCTATAACCTCAGGGGAAGCTAATTTGAAAACCTGTTTCTCCAGAAAATTGCCTCAAATGTTAAAAAAAAAAAAAACACTTCAGTTAGCTTTTAAAAATTTTGTATCGCTTAAGTATAAGTAGTCTTGGGTATGAGTTTCATTATTGTAAACATAGCTCAAAGTTACTGGAAATTTATTGTGATAACTTTTTATCAAAAAATATTATTTTGGCCCTCTAGATAAGTCTGTACTTGAAAAGGGAATTTGAAAAAGATGAGAAGCCACGTGACAAGTCATATCAAGAGGCAGTTTTAGAAGATATTTTTAAGAAGAATGACCACGATGGCGATGGCTTCATTTCTCCCAAGGAATACAACGTATATCAACATGACGAACTGTAGCAAATTTTTATTTCTACAGTTTTATTTCTATTTTTTTAGCTACTTATTGTACTTTATATATAAAACAAAGGTTTTTCCCAAATTATGTTTTCTATTTTTCACCGGCGAGAAGATATTTTGATCCCCTCACTACATGTAATTTTGATATAATAAATGTGAGGCTGTTTTAAATATTTAACTGTAAGTAAAGGTATGATTGTGTTTCGAATTGTTTTATCCTGTGAACATGAATTGCAGCACCATAAAATAGACCTCTGTGTCCCAGCAGGCAATTTCCCCCTTCAGGATATAGAAAGATACGTACCAGATGTCAAAAAACTTCAAGCTCGGCCGGGCACGGTGGCTCACGCCTGTAATCCTAGCTCTCTGGGAGGCCGAGGCGGGCAGATTGTTTGAGCTCAGGAGTTCAAAACCACTCTGACCAAGAGCGAGACCCCGTCTCTACTAAAATTAGAAAGAAATTAATTGGACAACTAAAAAAAAATATATAGAAAAAATTAGCCGGGCATGGTGGCGCATGCCTGTAGTCCCAGCTACTCGGGAGGCTGAGGCAGAAGGATTGCTTGAGCCCAGGAGTTTGAGGTTGCTGTGAGCTAGGCTGATGCCATGGCACTCTAGCCCGGGCAACACAGCGAGACTCTGTCTCAAAAAAAAAAACTTCAAGCTCTTCACAACTCTAACAGTATGCATAAACATGTAAATAGCTGGTTAATATTTTAAATGTTAAAATGCCCCATATTGTTAAACTATCCAGTAGGGACCCAGGAATTAGCATTTCATTTGTTTATACATTTCACAACATTATGGATAGTGGAATATAAAAATGACAGGACTGAAGAGTCTTCATATGCATACAGGAAGATATTGGTTGTATATCTCTATCCCACAGAGAACCTCAACAGTCTGCACTCTTTGGTGCAAGCTTTGGGTATTTGTTCCAGTAGGCATGTCTAAACACATTTGACCAGACCAAAGACTTTTTTGCATTTTATCCTAGAGCAGGCATGAAGTGTATACTGTTACGGGTCTTTACTCCTTCGTATCTTATTATAAATGTGCCATTCCTCTTCTTGTAGGCTTGTATAAGGTATCTACCACCCCTAAATTTTTATCTTGATAGTTTTAAATTGATGCCATGGAATTTCTTAGTTTCCAGGTCCCTTTCTCTAGGTATCTCTTTCTTTGTGTCACGTCATTTCACATCATTTTTGTCATTAATGATGATCCTTACAAACTGGTATGTCATCAAATTTTGATAAATGTATAAAATTTATTTTTGCTACAAATGAGGATATACAGTACCATGGCCATTTTGTGTCATGGTCAAATCATGATGTGATCCAACTTGTTGAGAACAGTGGCTAGGAGATGCTATAGAAGATCACATCGGTACCAAAGCAATAGCACACATATTTACTGAAACATAAAAGATTTTGCATACTGCCTATGTAGGAAAGTATGGACACGCAATAAAACGTTCTGTTCAAAATAAGTGAGTTCCAAACAAACAAAGCTTTTTCTGTTTTCCAAAACTTGCTCTTTCCAAACCATTGTTCATCTTTTAACCTCTTTAGGTATATACTGAAAAGTACAGAGGTAACACAAAAACTACCAGATCAGTAGATATCACACATGCATAGCACAGAATTTGGCACCTCATAAAACAAAAATCTTTACTATCTTTTATTTCCTCCCAGTATTTTTTCATTTCTATACTCACATTTTCTAATGCTTTCTCACTTGCTTAATCATCAACTCAGCCTTTACTTCCCTCAGAAAAACCTGCTCAATTGAAGTAAACTAAATTGATAATTCAATATTCTTATATTTTGGTTTGGAAACTGCCCCCATTCTCTACATCCATATTTAAGAAGTCACTAGAGCCCTTTTATTTGTTCAGTGCAGTCATATTTGCTTTGAATAATATACTCTGCTCCAAAAAATACAGTAAAATATATGTGGAAATTATCCTGGAATCTAAACTTTATAATTCTGTACTTTGTCTCATTTTTTTCATGCAAAGTGCTTTTAAACTTGTCTTAAAAAATTATAGATGATGTTAAATGAATAGAGATTTACTCTAAAACTTTCACATTCACATAATTAAAAATTTTTTAATCATTCTACATGCATAGTATACAAGTATTTTGTATCTACATGATTACTTTATGCCTTCATATGCATATACTTAGCAATGAGTGCTGTGATGACATTTTGAGTTCTGGACTTTTTACATATTATTCTTTTTGCTATTGTTTTAATAACGGTAGATAGTAAATTAATAGCTTAAGTTGTTTGTGTATGAAAAATTCAGATGTCTTAGAGTAGATGAAAAAGATCTTTCAGAACTAAATATGTTAAATGTTTTAAACATTTTCAAAGAAGAAATAGACGTGTCGTATCTGCCTTAACTTTAAAATGACAGTAGTGAGTTTTATGAAGATAAAACTAGCAAGCATATGTACATCATAGAATGGCAGCCCATTACTACTATCTGTTACCCTATTAATTGTGTACACAGAACCCCATGCTGAGCTCAGTGTGCTTTTAATTCGATACTGCAATTAAATATTTAGGATTATGTTAAATTATTAACACATTTTTCTCATTTTACCAGACCTAGGGCAATAGTTAAAACTGCATAAAGTTGCCACTTATGCACTCTTGTCCTTAAATGTTGAATTAAAAGTTGATTAAAAACAGATATTTAGAAAAACCTCTTAATTATTTAAAAAGTTATCTAAAACAATAGACTAAATCCACATCCCAAAAATGATTCTAAAGTGACTGGCAAATTTATGAAAGAACATCTAAATTTCATATTTAAACCTTTTGTGATATAAACAATGTTGGTAATCTCCATGACAATTTATGAGATAGACACTATTGTCATCATCTCAACTTTATAGATGGGGAATATGATAACCAGACAAGTTAACTTCTTTTTTCTTCTATTTTTTTTTTTCCCAGACAGAGTCTCCCTCTGTTGCCTGGGCTAAAATGCCATGGTGTCAGCCTAGCTCACAGCAACCTCAAACTCCTGGGCTCAAGCAATCCTCCTGCCTCAGCCTCCCGAGTAGCTGGGACTACAGGTGCATGCCACCACACCTGGCTAATTTTTTCTATTTTTAGTAGAGATGGTGTCTCACTCTTGCTCAGGCTGGTCTTGAACTCCTGAGCTCAAGCGATCCTCCCGCCTCAGCCTCCCAGAGTGCTAGGATTACAGGTATGAGCCACTGGCCCCAGCCTCTTCTCCCTCTTTAATTAAAGCAAACCTAGATAATTTAGGGAAGGTTTGTGGCACAACTGCATCTAAAACACCAGCAAATATATTAATTTTTCATTTTATTTCATTCTTTTATGCCAAACATCAAAACAAGGAACTGCATGAAGTCTCACATACTTCTGTCCATCGACAGAACATTGAAAGCACCCATAAACCGTCTCCCTTTTAAAGTTCCCCATTCCACAGAGTATACAAGGCCCTTTTGGAATGTTGTGATTAAGTAAGTTAACTCGGATATGCGTTCCTTCTTTGAGTGAAATATCAGTCATGCTGAGAGGTTTGTCATAGTAGTCAGAAAAGAGATCATCCAAGTAAAGCTGTGAACGAGAAATGGCATCCATCACTCTTCTATCTAAAAGGACAAAAACAAATGTGTTAAAAGTCAAAATAAAGAATACATAACCCAACTGTATTTATAAATATGTGAATCTAAACCATCACAAAATGATGAGGCTTTTAAATTTAAATTTTTCCTTAACAGATGGGATGACAGAGCAGATAACCTCATGTGTTAATCCAGAAAGAAAAAAATACATTTGAAATATTCTGCAGTGGACATACTTCTTTCAAATAGTATGTTTCTCAATCTGTAGAGCAGTGCAAACGTTGCCGTTTCTTCCCTTTCAAATCCTCCTTTTGACACTGAAGTGACACAAAGGTCTACAAAACAATTTTTAGAAGATGTTATAAGTTGAACGATTCATATTTCACAGGGTGTTTTATGGGGTGATGAATTCTGGTACAAACTATTCATTGTATTTTTTTAGGTTAAATTTTATAATTTTTAGAAAAGGTAATGTTTACATGGTACAAAATTCAAAGACTACAAAAAAGGGGATACAGTGACAAATGTCTAGCCCACCCTGAACCCAGCCACAGTCTTCCACCTGAAAGGCAACCCTGTTAAATTTCTTATGTATGCTTCCAGAAATACTCCATATATTTTACAAGCATAAATGAATATCTATAGATTATATATGTGTGTATGTATATAAAATTCTTTAGGCCCAAAGAGTCACATACTATATACATGTCTTTAAAACATCCCTTAGAAATTATTCCATGTCAAGACCTATCCTCATTCTTAATGGCTTCATAGTAGTCTTTTGTAAGGATGTACCGTGATTTAATTAGTATCCTTAAGGTTGTTTCCAATCTTTTGCTATTAAGAACTGAATATCCTTGTACTCATATCATTTCATATATGTGTAAGTATATCTGTAGGATAAATTTCTAGAAGTGTAAGGCCAAAGTATATGTACATTTTCAATTTTGATGGACGTATCAGTTATATCAGTGTATATTCCTCCCAACAACCAATATAACATAAACCTAAAGTATTCCAAATAGAATTTACTTAGTGTGTAATTTTGTTTTGTTTCTGGACTCCCTATTCACTCCTCCCACAGAATTGCAGAAATAAACAAAAACGAGTCTAAAAATGTTATTAAATTACGATAGCTAGGGGGCCCCCTTGCTTAATCCTTTGGGCTACACCTGGATTTGTGCCAGTTGGCCAACTAACCTTAAAGACCTGTAAAACAGAGAAATCTAAAGTGAGCTGTATAATACCTCCAAATCGAGGTTTTATACAAAGATGACAATCTTGGAGGAAGTATTCGTACTTTTAAAGTTATTTTTTAGAGGGAATGTGGAAGGAAGCTGGGTCTGCGATAGGTAAAACTGAAGTGAGAAAAATTGTCATTGGGTGCCCTGGTTTGGGCACCCTGAAACTTCAGGTATCTTATTGTCTACCTACTCCTCTATTTGCCAAAAACTACCTATAAGAGGGTTATTGATTATCTCCCCAAATAAGCCAAGGAATACTTTTGTCAGTGGATTGCATTTTAGCTCTCATCCTATAATTGAAAGTGGGGTAGTAAGGAGTCTACAGCCTTCACTGCGAAGCAGAAAAGAGGTACTGGATAGGTAGGGAAGGGAGGGCCTTTCCAGCTACCTCACTCAAGCATAAGATTGACAGTGCTGAGAGCATCACTCTTCTGTCATTATCAGACACTGAAAGAGAGAGAGAGAGAGAGAGAGAGAAAGTTTTCTATTCTCCTTAAAACTATAATCATCTGTGTTTCATGCAGATCATTCACTCACCAAAGGCACCATCCAGGTAAATGAAGAGTTCAAAAACACTGAAAGCTATGGTTGTATGTGCTGGGAAAACAATAGCTTTGTCCCTTCCCCTGGGATTCTGTTCATCCATAAAATGGAACTATATTAAATAAATAAAACATTATTAAGGAACATAACATACAAGGATAGCTTTTTAGAGAAACAAAATATCCCCTACAATCCTACCAAAACAAAACAAAACTTCCCCAAGTAAAGACTTACACTGTTGGAACTAAAGTGTTCATAGCAGAGATCTAGTGGTCAACGGGGACTCATGGTCTACATTAGGAAATTTCTCTCCACTTTTTCCACCTTGGTATTGGAGCCAATGACTGGTGCTACCACAACAGTAATGCTCTCTGGAGTAGAAGCCTTTTTCTTTCAACTGCAAATCTTGAAAAGCAACTGTGTTTAAGTGCTAGCTAGAGTTGAAGTTTTCAGCCTAGCTTGTCTACTGTTACAAAGCCCCCAGAGCTTTCAGCAGCTTTCCAAAGCTATCACCAACAATCGAGTAAATATTTCAGTTTGTGTCTCAAAAATGATCCAGTATTAATCGGAATTTGGCAGGCAGCTGAATATAGGTACTGGACAGAACTTTTATTTGTATAGATTTGAAAAGATTTTCATTGAACCCTATCTTTCTAACAATTGGTTTTAATCCTATCAAGTCATTATTAGGTATCACTGAATGACAGGATACACAGCATCATAATTCAGCTGAAAATTAAACACAAATAATTTTCTAATATTTTTTAAAGGATTTAACCAACATTGAATAAAGCATGTTTGGCCATTAATAATATTAACTTAGAAAAATCATTTTGTTTACTTTTTTTTTTTTTGAGACTCTCATTCTGTTGCCTAGGCTACAGTGCTGTGGCATCAGCCTAGCTCACAGCAACCTCAAACTCCTGGGCTCAAGC